CTTCCCACCCCCCATGGAGTGCTCGCTGTCTAAATCCCCCTCTCATGGAGTCCTTCGCCACCTTCATGTAGAGCCCCCAACCCCTCCCCCACAACACAAAGCTACCTCTCCCCATGGCCCCTTTCTCACAACCCTCATGTGCAGCCTCCCAAAGCCCCTCAACCCTCTCCTCACAAAGCCAGATCCCTGTGGACCCCCTCAGCCTCCCCCCCCACGGACCCCTCCCAGCCTCTCCCCACGGAGACCCCCTCGGCCACCCCTCCCCCCATGGAGACCCCCCTCAGCCTCCCCCCATGGAGACCCCCCTCAGCCTCCCCTCCCACCACGGACCCCTCCCAGCCTCCCCCCACCACCCACCTCTCCCCACGGAGACCCCCCTCAGCCTCCCCCTCCCCCCATGGAGACCCCTCCCAGCCTCCCCTCCCCCCACGGACCCCCCCACCACGCCCCTCCCAGCCTCTCCCCCACGGAGACCCCCCTCAGCCACCCCTCCCCCCCGGACCAGTCCCGCCCCCCCCCACGGAGACCCCCCTCAGCCTCCCCTCCCCCCACGGACCCCCTCCCAGCCTCCCCCCCCCCACGGAGACCCCCCCTCCCCCCGGAGCCCCCCTCCCCCCACGGACCAGTCCCAGCCTCCCCCTTGGAGACCCCCCTCAGCCTCCCCTCCCCCCACGGACCTCCCTCTCTCTCTCTTTCTCTCTCCTCCTCCCTCGCCTGGTTCGCCTTCCTGTTTCCGATGCCCACCCAGCCAGGACCCCTCCGTTTCCGGTGGGGCTGCCCCTACCTGCTCCTGACCCAAACTACCGGCCCCGGGACTGCTCCCTTCCCTTCCCCTCTTACCCCATCTGGGCTCCCTCCCCCCAACCCTGCCCCCGGATATGTGTAATTTTACTCAGGCATTCATCAGGGCAACCCAAAAGACAGGGGGACGCGGGGTCCTTCTGTCCGCGGCGTCGCGCTACTCCGGCAGGTGCGTGCGCATACGCGTTGAGGAAGGCGCGTGGCAAAGTGGACTGCGCATGCGCAACATAGATTGTGTGCCACTGGGTCCGATGATGCGCATGCGTATAAGTTCCACTCAATGCGTCGCGGCAACGATGCGACTAAAGGCCTGCGCATGCGTGATACTTCTTGGTGGTGGAAGAGGGGCTAGAGTCATGCGCATGCGCAGTCCGCCGGGAAAGCCTCTCCAATGAGGGGGCGAGACAATTCAGGGGCAGCTGCAGGCTCCTGCGGGAGGCGCCCCACCCTGATATCCCAGGGTGCACCGGGGCATGGAGGGGCCGCGTTCCCAGCGCCCACCGAGGCATCCGCCACCCCAAATTCCCATGATGCACTGGGGGGTGGAGCGCCCCATATTCCCAGAGTGCACTGGGGCGTTCAGAGCCCCAACTTCCCAGGATGCACTGGGGCACGGAGATCCCCAAATTCCCCGGGGTTGACTATGGTGCCAGCACCCCCAAATTCCCATGATGCACTGGGGCCCTGAGAGCATCAAATGCTCAGGGTGCAGTGGGGCACACAGTGTCCTGCTGCAGGGTGGAGGTCAGCAAGGGCGCCCCCTTTCCTCTCCCAGGCAGGGCCGGCCCCAGTGCGGCCCCGGGGTGGCGTGGCGCTGCCAGCAGTGCCCCAGCCAGCAGCCGCGCTTTCATCGTCGACGTGTTTTCCATCAACACAGAGCAAAGGTCCTGTTTGGGTCTCCATTTTATTTCTGATTGAAGGAAAACAGACAAGAAAGAACTAATACGAAGTCTGCACCGCGGAGGGCCCCTGTGTGTGACCCTGGCTACAACATCAGCCTTGTTGAGCTCAGTAGGGCGCCCCCTAGACGGGCAGGTCGCACCTTATTCTCACACGTGCAGGACACAGGAAAGAACCATGCAGTGACATAGCCGTATAACCACACTCAGCAACCCCTGTGTCACACGGCCTCCCTGGCTGTCTCTCAGCACCAGGAGAGGGATCCCCCCATAAACAGCCCCTGAGCCCCACCCCAGAGGTGGCTGCATCTCAGCGCTGGGTGAGGAAACACTCTACAAACAGCCCCTCCCCCTACTCCTTGGCACAGGCTCGGCGCAGCATCCGCTCTGCGTCCTCCGTCATCTCTGCCAGGGCCTGTGTCAGCACCCTGTAGGTGGCCTCCAGGGAGATCTCGGGCTGCCCCTCGTCCCCGCGGCCCCAGTAGGGCACCATGCTCCACATCCTGGAGGAGAAGGGCACGGGCTTAGTGATCTGCTTCAGCACCTGCTTCGGGTCGGGCCGCTTGAGCCAGGGGCTCCGGATCTCAGCCTGGAGCAGTCTGACGGGTTTCCCTGTGGCTTTGGCCACCTGGGCCAAGGACTCCTCAACCAGGCCCAGCTCGATGGAGAAAGCCGAGGCTGTGTTGATGAGGCTGGTGGCCACGTCCGGGCCAGGTTTCTCTGCAGAGTAGAGGCAGCTCTGCAGGGTCTTGCGCCAGACGTCCTTCATCAGCGCCTTGCTCTTCCTCCTCACCAGGCGGCTCAAGGCCATGGGGATGGCCTTCTCCAGTGCCTCCCTCTTCAAGGCTGGGGCGTCGTTCTCAAGGGCCGCCCGGAGGGCCGGCAGGTCGTAGGCCTCGCGGAGAAGGCTGGAGACGAGGAAGACCCTTGGGGAGCCCACGCCATCCTTCTGGAGGGCGCCCACACAGCTGCTCCGGATCTCCTCCACGGGGCGGAGCTCGGGGCCAGGTTGGGCGTCCACGTCCACCTTGGTCCTGACGAAGAAGAACCGCTTCCCGGCCGCGCTGACGGCCCGGGCGAGCTGGCTCTGGGCATGGCGGTAGCGCTCTGAGGCCGTCAGCAGGAAGAAGTCGTAACGGGACAGATCCAGCCGCCCCACGTCCTCCTCCGTCACCCCCACTCCTGGCAAGTCCCACAGATACAGGCCGGGGACAGTGGGGAGGGCGTAAGCTGCGGCTTTCTGGGTGGTGGCTGTCACCCCCATGGGGGCCGCCCCTGGCTCCCCGCAGCCCACCCCCCTCAGGGCGTTTACCAGCGCCGACTTGCCCGAGCCGGCCTCCCCCAGCACTGCCACGTCCAGCCGGATCTGCGAGGGCTCCTCCAGTGCCGAGCAGATGATGGCAGGCACCTCTGCCAGTCCCCCCGTGGCGCAGGCCTGGTACAGCTCCTGGATCTTCCTCGGGCTCACGGCCCTCAGGTCCTCCAGCTCCCCGTCATGGGCCCTGCACAGAGAGGACGGGACAGGGGGATTGGAGCCCCTCTGCTGCGCTTTGGGTAGAGAGGAAGCTTGTACCTGGTGTTACCGGAACCCAGGACACTGGGGGTCTGGTCCCAGCTCAGCCACAGACTCCGTGTGAGCCACTGCCTCTCTCTGGGCCTCAGTTTCCCCACCTGTATAAAGTGGGAGAAGGAGCCTTCTTTTGTCTGTGCAGATTGGAAGCTCCACCTCTTGGAGGACATGGGGCAGGGACTGTGTCTTGGGCGGGGTCCATGCAGCGCCCCACAATGGAGCCCCTGATCTCGGGCGGGGTCTGTGCAGCGCCTGGCACAATGCGGCGGGGGTGTGTGTGTGTGTCTGTGCAGCACTTACTGTGATGTGGCCCCTCAATACCCAGTGTGGAAGTTTTACTGCAGTTTCTGTAAAAAAGCTGATTTTTCAAAATGCTGTAAAATTTTCCCCACTCCCCTCCCAGAGCCAGAACCCAGGAGTCCTGGCTCCCGCCCTGCCCTGCCCTGCCCCGCTAGACCCCACTCCCTTCCCCGAGTTGGGGAGAGAACCCAGGAGTCTTGACTCCCGGCCTACCCTGCTCTGACCTGCTAGACCCCACTCCCCTCTGAGAGCTGGGGAAAGAACCCAGGAGTCCTGGCTACTAGCCCTACGCCGCTCACCTCTTCAGCTGGATTATCTCCTCCTCCAGCTTGTCCTGGAACTGGCTGAACTGGTACCTGTCCGTCTCCAGGCCCGAGACCAGGAAAACCCTGCTGGTCTCCAGCCCGTTCTTGGCCAGCGCCTCGGCCACCTCCTTCCGGGCCAGGGCCAGCGCCTCCGCCGAGCTGTACCGGGCCTGGAACCGCCTCTTGGCCGTGTGCAAGTCCAGGTCCACCTTGGTGCGCACCACATAATAGGGCTTCCGCTTCTGCTGGAAGGCCTTGAGGAGCTGCAGGTGGGCATCTGCCGGGCTTCCCTCGCCCACCACCAGCACCAGGCAGCCGTACTTCCCCAGGTCCCCCAGCCGCTTCGTGTAGTCGCCCGGCTTCTCCGGCTCCTGGAAGCCCGGGAGATCCCACAGCGCCAGGGTGGGGTAGGCGGGGTGGGTGTAGCCGGCCGGCTGCCCTGGGGGCTCTGGTGCCTGCTGGAAGAAGGCCTGGGGGTCCTCCAAGCCGGGGCGTTCTCCCACAAGGGCGTGGATCAGCGTGGTGACCCCGGCGCCCCGGCGGCCCACCACAGCCACGTCGGCCTTCAGGGCATTGACCGAGTCCACCAGGGCCTGGAGGCGGGCGGTGGCCGTGCCGGGGTCCTGGGCTTCGTAGCGGGCCAGCAGGTCCTGGAGGAAAGCGTCGTCCAAGCCCGCCGGGGCTGCCATGGCCAGAGCTGCAAGGAGAAGCAGGCTGGAGTCAGGACTCCTGGGTTCTCTCCCTGGCTCTGGCAGGGGAGTGGGGTCCAGTGGTTAGTGGGGGGCGCTGGTGGTTGGGGCGGGGAGTCAGGACGCCTGGGTTCTCTGGGGGCGCTGGTGGTTGGGGCGGGGAGTTCAAGTGGGGTCTAGTGGTTAAAGCGGGGGGAGGGGTGGTGAGCCAGGACACCTGGGTCCTCTTGGGCTCTGGGAGCGGAGTGGGGTCTAGTGGTTGGGGGGGGGGGGGAAGGACGGGCAGGGAGCCAGGACGCCTGGGTCCTCTCGGGCTCTGGGAGGCGAGTGGGGTCCAGTGGTTGGGGAGGGGGAGCCAGGACGCCTGGGTTCTCGGGTGGGGGGGAGCCAGGACGCCTGGGTTCTCGGAGGGAGGGCGGTCCAGCCGCTCACCCGCAGTGGGTCCCTCCAGGCCGGGTGACAGCGGGGCCGGGAAACAGAAACCGAGACGGCGGCTCCTCCCCCGGGGCCGGGCCGGGCCGAGCCAGGCCGGAGGGGGCGGAACCGGGAGAGGCGCCGGTGGAGCCGTGAGTGCGGGAGGGAGCCTTCGTGTGACCCCCCCACCCCGATCCGTCCCCCTTCGCCCCCTCCCCTGCACCCCCGATCCGTCCCCTGCTCCCCCCTCTGTCCGCCCCTTCGCCCCCGTCCCCTGCACCCCCGATCCGTGCCCTGCACCCCCCTCTGTCCGCCCCTTCACCCCCCTCCCCTGCACCCCCCGATCCGTCTCCCTTCGCCCCCTCCCCTGCACCCCCGATCCGTGCCCTGCACCCCCCTCTGTCCGCCCCTTCACCCCCCTCCCCTGCACCCCCCGATCCGTCCCCTGCACCCCCCGATCCGTCTCCCTTCGCCCCCTCCCCTGCACCCCCCGATCCGTCCCCTGCTCCCCCCTCTGTCCGCCCCTTCGCCCCCCTCCCCTGCACCCCCGATCCGTCCCCCTTCGCCCCCCTCTGTCCGCCCCTTCGCCCCCCTCCCCTGCACCCCCCGATCCGTCCCCTGCACCCCCCGATCCGTCCCCTGCACCCCCTCTGTCCGCCCCTTCGCCCCCTCCCCTGCACCCCTGATCCGTCCCCTGCTCCCCCTCTGTCCGCCCCTTCGCCCCCTCCCCTGCACCCCCGATCCGTCCCCTGCACCCCCCGATCCGTCCCCCTTCGCCCCCCTCTGTCCGCCCCTTCGCCCCCTCCCCTGCACCCCCGATCCGTCCCCTGCTCCCCACTCTGTCCGCCCCTTCGCCCCCCTCCCCTGCACCCCCGATCCGTCCCCTGCACCCCCGATCCGTCCCCCTTCGCCCCCTCTGTCCGCCCCTTCGCCCCCCTCCCCTGCACCCCCGATCCGTCCCCTGCTCCCCCCTCTGTCCGCCCCTTCGCCCCCCCCCCTGCACCCCCGATCCGTCCCCTGCACCCCCTCTGTCCGCCCCTTCGCCCCCCTCCCCTGCACCGCCGATCCGTCCCCTGCACCCCCGATCCGTCCCCCTTCGCCCCCCTCTGTCCGCCCCTTCGCCCCCTCCCCTGCACCCCCGATCCGTCCCCTGCACCCCCGATCCGTCCCCCTTCGCCCCCCTCTGTCCGCCCCTTCGCCCCCTCCCCTGCACCCCCGATCCGTCCCCTGCACCCCCCTCTGTCCGCCCCTTCACCCCCCTCCCCTGCACCCCCGATCCGTCCCCTGCACCCCCTCTGTCCGCCCCTTTGCCCCCCTCCCCTGCACCCCCCAAATCCATCCCCTGGGCCCCACTCTGTCCGCTCATCCCCCTGGACCCCCCCGACCTTTCAGCTGATATTTTCACGATCAGACCCCCCTCCGTCTGCCCCCTGGACCCCTCTGTCCGCCCCATGCACCCCCCCCGCCCTTGCCCCTCCCCTGTCCCCCTGCACACCTGATCCATCCCCCTTCACCTCTCTTTGTCTGCCCCATGCATGCCCCTGTCCGCCCCATGCTCCCTCCTCTGTCCGACCCCAGGCACCCCCCTCTGTGCACCCCCTGCTCCCTCCTCTGTCCGACCCCAGGCACCCCCCTGTGCACTCCCTGCACCCCCCTTTTTCCATCCCATGCACCCCCCAATCCATCCCCCTGTACTCTCCTCTGTCTGTCTGTCCCCCTGCACCCCTTCTGTACCCCTGTCTGTTTGTCCATCCCTATGCACACCTCTCTATCTGGTTCAAGAGGGGGGCTGGGATCAGGGCGGGGTGGGGCACGGTCAAGAGGGGGTTGGATGTCGGGGGTTGGGAGCGTCGGGGTAGGGGACAGACCCCCGGAGCCACCCCCCTGACAATCACGTCTCCTTCTGTCTCCGCAGCACCCAGATGAACGAAGCCCTGGGCCCCGAAATGCCCCTGCAGCCCCCGGCGGATGCCTCGCCGGGCTCCCGAGACCGGGGCGACGTCTTGGTCGTGATCGTGGGGGTGCCGGGCTGCGGCAAGTCGGCCCTGCTCAACGCCGCGCGGGGCCTGGCGGAGGACGACGCCCGCGCGGCCCCGCTGGGGGCCCCGGCTAGCTCCGGGGGGCCCGTGCTGTACCCCGACCCGGCCTGGCCCAACCTGCTGCTCTGGGAGCTGCCCCTGACGGAGGGCGAGGGGCCGGCGCGCTGGCTGGCCGAGGGGGACGTGGTGGTCCTGGCCACCGACGGGCTCTTCGGCGCCAGCCACGCCCGCCTGGCCCAGGAGGCCCGCGGCGCTGGCAAGATGGTCCACTTTGCCCGCACCAAGGCCGACCTGGACCTGCACACCCTCCGGCGGCTCCTGGGTGGGCGCTATGACCGGGCCCAGGCCCTCGATGCCCTCCGGGCCGCCTGCGCCCAGTCTCTGGTGGCCCATGGCCTCGGGGAGCCCCCGCCCGTCGTCTTCCTCGTCTCTGGCCACGAGCCCCAGGAGCTGGACGGGCCCCTGCTGCGCCAGGCTCTGGTGGGAGACGTCAGGGTGTACGAGAGGTGTGGCTTGTTTACTGTAGGGTCTCCCGGGTGGGCTCCTAGAGTGGGCATGCTCGGGGGAGGTAGGGCTTTTGTAGGGTTTCTTGAGGAGACGACTTTGGTTGTTGTGGGGGGAAGGGCCTCAAGTGGGGTGTTATTGTAGGGTCTCTTTGAAGGGCTGCATGCAGTGCTTGGGTTCTTTTTACAGGGTCTCAAGTGGTTTGTTATTTTAGGGTCTCCCAGAGATCCCAACACCCAGCCAGTCCCCCCACATGTCTCACACTCACTGGTCCCCCCACTCCTCACCCCCTGTCTCCCCTGCTGTGCCTCCCCCCCACTCCGGCCCCTCTCCCCGTACTCCCTGGTCCTTTCTTACTCTGTTCAGTACCCCCCAGCATCTCATGCCCCTTCTATCGCCCCCCCCCAGTGCCACCCATTGTCTCATGCCCCCTGTGCCCACAGGGTGCTGCACCCGGTGATCTCCGGCTTTGAGCAGATCAGCGAGCGGGAGGTGGCCGAGATCCAGGAGGCCTACGAGCTGGGTGGCCTGGCAGAGGTGGTGACCCGGGTCCAGTGCAGCCTGGAGACCCTCTGGAACGCCCGGCTGGATGTGGCCGTCACCGGGGAGTCGGGGGCCGGCAAGTCCACCTTCGTCAATGCCCTGCGAGGCCTGGGGGACGAGGACGAGGGGGGCGGCCCAGACCGGTGTGACCGAGACCACGGCCCAGCCCACGGCCTACCCTTACCCCGGCTACCCCAACGTGACGCTGTGGGACCTGCCCGGCATCGGCACGCCCAGCTTCCGGGCCGACTGCTACCTCGAGGCCGTGGAGTTCCCTCGCTACGACTTCTTCATCATCCTGGCCTCGGAGAGGTTCAAGGAGAACCACGTCCGACTGGCCCAGGCCATCGTGGAGCAAGGCAAACGCTTCTACTTTGTGCGCGCCAAGGTCGACAACGACCTGGAGGCCACGCGGAGGAGGAAGAACCCACCCGAGGAAGAGGAGGTGCTGGAGGAGATCAGGAGGGACTGCCGGGAACGGCTGAGCCAGGCCGGGCTGGGCGACACCAAGGTCTTCCTCCTCAGCAGCTTCGAGATAGAGAAATACGACTTCCAGGCCTTCGAGGACACCTTGGAGCGGGAGCTGCCCGGGCACAAGCGTCACGCCTTCCTCCTCTCCCTGCCCAACCTCTCGGGGGCCATCATCGAGAAGAAGCGGCAGCTGCTCCACCAGGAGGTCTGGAAGGTGGCCTTGGTCTCCAGCCTGGTGGCCGCCGTGCCCTTGCCGGGGCTGGCCTTCACCTGCGACGTCTCCATCCTGCTGAGGAAGCTGGCTGCCTACCGGCGGGATTTCGGGCTGGACGCGGCCTCCCTGGCCCGGCTGGCGGAGAGGGCCGGGAAGCCGCTGGAGGCGCTGCGGGCCGAGGTGCACAGCGTGCTGGGGCGCGGCATCAACAAGGAGGTGGTGATCGGGCTGCTGGGGAAGGCCACCGGCGGGGGCTTGGTGGTGGTCAACTTCTTCTTCCACCGGATCCCCATCTACGGGGCGCTGGCCTCCGGGGGCATCTCCTTCCACACCACCTACTCCATGCTCAGCCAGTGCCTGGAGGAGCTGGCGGCTGACTCCCAGCGGGTTCTGGTCAAGGCCTTCGACAGCGAGGTCTGAGGGGGCTTCCAGACAAGCTAGGCGATCCCCTCCCTCAGCTAAGGCAAAATGGCCATGTTATTGTAGGGTCTCTCGGGCGGGCGGGGGGCCGCGTGCATTGCTTGGTTATTGTAGGGTCTCTCGGGCGGGCGGGGGGCCGCGTGCATTGCTTGGTAATTGTAGGGTCTCCTGAAAGGGGCCTCCACTCCCAGTCCTCTTCCAAAATCTGTGGTTCTTCCCCCCCCAGATTCCCATGGCTACCGTCTCAGCACACCCCCCGCTGGGTCAATGGGCCATAGCGCCACTGTCCTCAATGGGGCCAGGTCCCCAGCTGGCCCCGATTCCCTAGCGTGGTGCTAGGGGGCGCTGTGCTGCAGGGGTTGGGGTTGGGGCCGATCCTCCTTGCAGTTCTCCCCCCACAGCACCCGAAATCCCCGAGCTCGCGAACACAGACCCCGTCTCTGCCCTGTCCCATGGCTGCTGCGGCTCATGCAGGGATCTTGGTGTGGCGCAGGCCCACGGACGAGGCCTCTCCCAGTCCGGGGGTGGGTCTGACCTGGCTTGTGGGGCTTGGCTCCAGCCCTGTTCCTTGGCTTTTGGGGGGCACTGGGACAGCCCTGAAATTCAGGGGGGGGTGTTCTTCATGGGGTCCCTGATGGTCCTCAAAAGGGGCAACATGGGGGGGGGTGATTCCTTCCACAGCTCTGCTAAGAACACCCGTATGGGTCTGTACAGCACCTAGCGCTACCGTAACGCACCTAATAAATAGCAATCATGATGTACCACACCCAGTGCTACCGTAATGCACCTAATACAGTGGTTTTCAAACTTTTTTTCTGGCAACCCAGTTGAAGAAAACTGTTGATGCCCACGACCGAACAGAGCTGGGGATGAGGGGTTTGGCGTGTGGGAGGAGCTCAGGGGTGGGGAAGAGGGTTGGAGTGCAGGGGTGGGGCCAGGAATGAGGTGTTCAGGGTGTGGGAGGGGGCTCAGGGCAGGGGGGTGGGGTGCGGGAGGGGGTCAGAGCTCTGGGCTGGGGCCGGGGATGAGAGGTTTGGGGTGCCGGGGATGAGAGGTTTGGGTTTTGGGGGGCTCTGGGCTGGGGCAAGGGATTGGGGCACGGGCTTACCTCGGGCGGCGTTGCAGCCGGGGTGCAGAGGCAGGCTTCCCAACTGTCCTGGCACCGTGGACCACGCTGCTCCCCGGAAGCAGCAGGTCCGGCTCCTAGGCGGAGGGACGCAAGTGGCTCCGTGTTACTTGCCCACAGGCATTGTCCCCCAGCTCCCATTGGCGGTTCCCAGCCAATGGGAGTGCGGAGCCGGTGCTTGGGGCGAGGGCAGCGCGCGGAGCCCCCCCCCCGCCACTTCCAGGGCGCAGCGTGGTGTCAGAACCGGGCCTGCCTTAGCCGGGCAGCACCAGGACGGGACCCTTAACGGCCTGGTCGGCAGTGCTGACAGAGCCGCCGCGACCCAGTGCCTTCCATTCCGCGACCCAGTACCGGGTCGCGACCCACAGTTTGAAAACCACGGACCTAAAAAATAGCAATCGGTATGTACCGCACCCAGCACTACCGTAATGCACCTAATACCTAGCAACGGCGACGTACCGCACCCAGCGCTACTGTAATGCACCTAATACCTAGCAACGGCGATGTACCGCACCGAGCGCTACCGTAATGCACCTAATACCTAGCAAGGGTGATGTACCGCACCCAGCGCGACCGTAATGCACCTAATACCTAGCAACGGCGATGTACCGCACCCAGCGCTACCGTAATGCACCTAATACCTAGCAACGGCGATGTACCGCACCCAGCGCTACCGTAATGCACCTAATACCTAGCAACGGCGATGTACCGCACCCAGCGCTACCGTAATGCACCTAATACCTAGCAACGGCGATGTACAGCACCCCAGCGCTACCGTAATGCACCTAATACCTAGCAACGGCGATGTACCGCACCCAGCGCTACCGTGATGCACCTAATACCTAGCAACGGCGATGTACCGCACCCAGCGCTACCGTAATGCACCTAATACCTAGCAAGGGTGATGTACCGCACCCAGCGCTACCGTAATGCACCTAATACCAAGCAAGGGTGATGTACCGCACCCAGCACTACCGTAATGCACCAAATACCTAGCAACGGCGATGCACCGCACCCAGCGCTACCGTAATGCACCTAATACCTAGCAAGGGTGATGTACCACACCCAGCGCTACCGTGATGCACCTAATACCTAGCAACGGTGATGTACCGCACCCAGCGCTACCGTAATGCACCTAATACCTAGCAACGGCGATGTACAGCACCCCAGCGCTACCGTAATGCACCTAATACCTAGCAACGGCGATGTACCGCACCCAGCGCTACCGTGATGCACCTAATACCTAGCAACGGCGATGCACCGCACCCAGCGCTACCGTAATGCACCCAATACCTAGCAAGGGCGATGTACCGCACCGAGCGCTACCGTAATGCACCTAATACCTAGCAACGGCGACGTACCGCACCCAGCGCTACCGTAATGCACCTAATACCTAGCAACGGCGATGTACCGCACCCAGCGCTACCGTAATGCACCTAATACCTAGCAACGGCGACGTACCGCACCCAGCACTACCGTAATGCACCTAATACCTAGCAACGGTGATGTACCGCACCCAGCACTACCGTAATGCACCTAATACCTAGCAAGGGTGATGTACCGCACCCAGCGCTACCGTAATGCACCTAATACCTAGCAAGGGTGATGGACCGCACCCAGCACTACCGTAATGCACCTAATACCTAGCAAGGGTGATGTACCGCACCCAGCACTACCGTAATGCACCTAATACCTAGCAAGGGTGATGTACCGCACCCAGCACTACCGTAATGCACCAAATACCTAGCAAGGGTGATGTACCGCACCCAGCGCTACCGTAATGCACCTAATACCTAGCAACGGCGATGTACCGCACCCAGCACTACCGTAATGCACCTAATACCTAGCAACGGCGATGTACCGCACCCAGCGCTACCGTAATGCACCTAATACCTAGCAACGGCGATGTACCACACCCAGCACTACCGTAATGCACCTAATACCTAGCAACGGCGATGCACCGCACCCAGCGCTACCGTAATGCACCCAATACCTAGCAAGGGCGATGCACCGCACCCAGCGCTACCGTAATGCACCTAATACCTAGCAAGGGCGATGTACCGCACCCAGCACTACCGTAATGCACCTAATACCTAGCAACGGTGATGTACCGCACCCAGCACTACCGTAATGCACCTAATACCTAGCAAGGGCGATGCACCGCACCCAGCGCTACCGTAATGCACCTAATACCTAGCAAGGGCGATGTAACGCACCCAGCGCTACCGTAATGCACCTAATACCTAGCAACGGCGATGTACCGCACCGAGCGCTACCGTAATGCACCTAATACCTAGCAAGGGTGATGTACCGCACCGAGCGCTACCGTAATGCACCTAATACCAAGCAACGGCGATGCACCGCACCCAGCACTACCGTAATGCACCTAATACCTAGCAAGGGCGATGTACCACACCCAGCGCTACCGTAATGCACCTAATACCTAGCAACGGCGATGCACCGCACCCAGCACTACCGTAATGCACCTAATACCTAGCAAGGGCGATGCACCGCACCCAGCACTACCGTAATGCACCTAATACCTAGCAAGGGCGATGTACCGCACCGAGCGCTACCGTAATGCACCTAATACCTAGCAAGGGTGATGTACCACACCGAGCGCTACCGTAATGCACCTAATACCAAGCAACGGTGATGTACCGCACCCAGCACTACCGTAATGCACCTAATACCTAGCAAGGGCGATGTACCGCACCCAGCACTACCGTAATGCACCTAATACCTAGCAACGGCGATGCACCGCACCCAGCGCTACCGTAATGCACCCAATACCTAGCAAGGGCGACGCACCGCACCCAGCGCTACCGTAATGCACCAAATACCTAGCAACGGCGACGTACCGCACCCAGCGCTACCGTAATGCACCTAATACCTAGCAAGGGCGATGCACCGCACCGAGCGCTACCGTAATGCACCTAATACCTAGCAAGGGTGATGTACCGCACCCAGCGCTACCGTAATGCACCTAATACCTAGCAACGGCGATGTACCCACCCACACTACCGTAATGCACCTAATACCTAGCAACGGCGATGTACCGCACCCAGCGCTACCGTAATGCACCTAATACCTAGCAAGGGCGATGTACCACACCCAGCACTACCGTAATGCACCTAATACCTAGCAACGGCGATGCACCGCACCCAGCGCTACCGTAATGCACCCAATACCTAGCAACGGCGACGTACCGCACCCAGCGCTACCGTAATGCACCTAATACCTAGCAAGGGCGATGCACCGCACCGAGCGCTACCGTAATGCACCTAATACCTAGCAAGGGTGATGTACCGCACCCAGCGCTACCGTAATGCACCTAATACCTAGCAACGGCGATGTACCGCACCCAGCACTACCGTAATGCACCTAATACCTAGCAACGGCGATGTACCGCACCCAGCGCTACCGTAATGCACCTAATACCTAGCAACGGCGATGTACCACACCCAGCACTACCGTAATGCACCTAATACCTAGCAACGGCGATGCACCGCACCCAGCGCTACCGTAATGCACCCAATACCTAGCAAGGGCGATGCACCGCACCCAGCGCTACCGTAATGCACCTAATACCTAGCAAGGGCGATGTACCGCACCCAGCACTACCGTAATGCACCTAATACCTAGCAACGGTGATGTACCGCACCCAGCACTACCGTAATGCACCTAATACCTAGCAAGGGCGATGCACCGCACCCAGCGCTACCGTAATGCACCTAATACCTAGCAAGGGCGATGTAACGCACCCAGCGCTACCGTAATGCACCTAATACCTAGCAACGGCGATGTACCGCACCGAGCGCTACCGTAATGCACCTAATACCTAGCAAGGGTGATGTACCGCACCGAGCGCTACCGTAATGCACCTAATACCAAGCAACGGCGATGCACCGCACCCAGCACTACCGTAATGCACCTAATACCTAGCAAGGGCGATGTACCACACCCAGCGCTACCGTAATGCACCTAATACCTAGCAACGGCGATGCACCGCACCCAGCACTACCGTAATGCACCTAATACCTAGCAAGGGCGATGCACCGCACCCAGCACTACCGTAATGCACCTAATACCTAGCAAGGGCGATGTACCGCACCGAGCGCTACCGTAATGCACCTAATACCTAGCAAGGGTGATGTACCACACCGAGCGCTACCGTAATGCACCTAATACCAAGCAACGGTGATGTACCGCACCCAGCACTACCGTAATGCACCTAATACCTAGCAAGGGCGATGTACCGCACCCAGCACTACCGTAATGCACCTAATACCTAGCAACGGCGATGCACCGCACCCAGCGCTACCGTAATGCACCCAATACCTAGCAAGGGCGACGCACCGCACCCAGCGCTACCGTAATGCACCAAATACCTAGCAACGGCGACGTACCGCACCCAGCGCTACCGTAATGCACCTAATACCTAGCAAGGGCGATGCACCGCACCGAGCGCTACCGTAATGCACCTAATACCTAGCAAGGGCGATGTACCGCACCCAGCACTACCGTAATGCACCTAATACCTAGCAACGGTGATGTACCGCACCCAGCACTACCGTAATGCACCTAATACCTAGCAAGGGCGATGCACCGCACCCAGCGCTACCGTAATGCACCTAATACCTAGCAACGGCGATGTACCGCACCCAGCACTACCGTAATGCACCCAATACCTAGCAAGGGCGATGTACCGCACCCCAGCGCTACCGTATTGCACCCAATACCTAGCAAGGGCGATGCACCGCACCCAGCGCTACCGTAATGCACCTAATACCTAGCAAGGGCGATGTACCGCACCGAGCGCTACCGTAATGCACCTAATACCTAGCAAGGGTGATGTACCACACCGAGCGCTACCGTAATGCACCTAATACCAAGCAACGGTGATGTACCGCACCCAGCACTACCGTAATGCACCTAATACCTAGCAAGGGCGATGCACCGCACCCAGCACTACCGTAATGCACCTAATACCTAGCAAGGGCGATGTACCGCACCGAGCGCTACCGTAATGCACCTAATACCTAGCAAGGGTGATGTACCACACCGAGCGCTACCGTAATGCACCTAATACCAAGCAACGGTGATGTACCGCACCCAGGACTACCGTAATGCACCTAATACCTAGCAAGGGCGATGCACCGCACCCAGCACTACCGTAATGCACCTAATACCTAGCAAGGGTGATGTACCGCACCCAGCGCTACCGTAATGCACCAAATACCTAGCAACGGCGATGTACCGCACCCAGCACTACCGTAATGCACCAAACACCTAGCAACGGCGATGTACCGCACCCAGCACTACCGTAATGCACCCAATACCTAGCAAGGGCGATGTACCGCACCCCAGCGCTACCGTAATGCACCCAATACCTAGCAACGGCGATGTACCGCACCCAGCACTACCGTAATGCACCTAATACCTAGCAAGGGCGATGCACCGCACCCAGCGCTACCGTAATGCACCTAATACCTAGCAAGGCCGATGCACCGCACCCAGCGCTACCGTAATGCACCTAATACCTAGCAAGGGCGATGCACCGCACCCAGCGCTACCGTAATGCACCTAATACCTAGCAAGGGCGATGCACCGCACCCAGCGCTACCGTAATGCACCAAATACCTAGCAAGGGCGATGCACCGCACCCAGCGCTACCGTAATGCACCAAATACCTAGCAACGGCGATGTACCGCACCCAGCGCTACCGTAATGCACCTAATACCTAGCAACGGCGATGTACCGCACCCAGCGCTACCGTAATGCACCTAATACCTAGCAAGGGCGATGCACCGCACCCAGCGCTACCGTAATGCACCTAATACCTAGCAACGGCGATGTACCGCACCCAGCGCTACCGTAATGCACCTAATACCTAGCAACGGCGATGTACCGCACCCAGTGCTACCGTAATGCACCTAATACCTAGCAAGGGCGATGTACAGCACCCAGCACTACCGTAATGCACCAAATACCTAGCAACGGCGATGTACCGCACCCAGCACTACCGTAATGCACCTAATACCTAGCAAGGGTGATGTACCGCACCCAGCACTACCGTAATGCACCAAATACCTAGCAACGGCGATGTACCGCACCCAGCACTACCGTAATGCACCTAATACCTAGCAAGGGCGATGTACCACACCCAGCGCTACCGTAATGCACCTAATACCTAGCAACGGTGATGTACCGCACCCAGCGTTACCGTAATGCACCTAATACCTAGCAACGGCGATGTACCGCACCCAGCACTACCGTAATGCACCTAATACCTAGCAAGGGCGATGTACCACACCCAGCGCTACCGTAATGCACCTAATACCTAGCAACGGTGATGTACCGCACCCAGCACTACTGTAATGCACCTAATACCAAGCAACGGTGATGTACCGCACCCAGCACTACCGTAATGCACCTAATACCTAGCAAGGGCGATGCACCGCACCCAGCACTACCGTAATGCACCTAATACCTAGCAACGGCGATGTACCGCACCCAGCGCTACCGTAATGCACCTAATACCTAGCAAGGGTGATGTACCGCACCGAGCGCTACCGTAATGCACCTAATACCTAGCAAGGGCGATGTACCGCACCCAGCGCTACTGTAATGCACCTAATACCAAGCAACGGCGATGCACCGCACCCAGCACTACCGTAATGCACCTAATACCTAGCAAGGCGATGTACCGCACCCAGCGCTACCGTAATGCACCTAATACCTAGCAAGGCCGATGCACCGCACCGAGCACTACCGTAATGCACCTAATACCTAGCAAGGGCGATGAACCGCACCCAGCGCTACCGTAATGCACCTAATACCTAGGAAGGGTGATGAACCGCACCCAGCGCTACCGTAATGCACCTAATACCTAGCAACGGCGATGTACCGCACCCAGTGCTACCGTAATGCACCTGATACCTAGCAAGGGCGATGTACAGCACCCAGCACTACCGTAATGCACCCAATACCTAGCAACGGCGATGTACCGCACCCAGCACTACCGTAATGCACCTAATACCTAGCAAGGGTGATGTACCGCACCCAGCACTACCGTAATGCACCAAATACCTAGCAACGGCGATGTACCGCACCCAGCACTACCGTAATGCACCTAATACCTAGCAAGGGCGATGTACCACACCCAGCGCTACCGTAATGCACCTAATACCTAGCAACGGTGATGTACCGCACCCAGCGTTACCGTAATGCACCTAATACCTAGCAACGGCGATGTACCGCACCCAGCGCTACCGTAATGCACCTAATACCTAGCAAGGGCGATGTACAGCACCCAGCACTACCGTAATGCACCAAATACCTAGCAACGGCGATGTACCGCACCCAGCACTACCGTAATACACCTAATACCTAGCAACGGCGATGTACCGCACCCAGCACTACCGTAATGCACCTAATACCTAGCAACGGCGATGTACCGCACCCAGCGCTACCGTAATGCACCTAATACCTAGCAAGGGTGATGTACCGCACCGAGCGCTACCGTAATGCACCTAATACCTAGCAAGGGCGATGCACCGCACCCAGCGCTACTGTAATGCACCTAATACCAAGCAACGGCGATGCACCGCACCCAGCACTACCGTAATGCACCTAATACCTAGCAAGGCGATGTACCGCACCCAGCGCTACCGTAATGCACCTAATACCTAGCAAGGCCGATGCACCGCACCGAGCACTACCGTAATGCACCTAATACCTAGCAAGGGTGATGAACCGCACCCAGCGCTACCGTAATGCACCTAATACCTAGCAAGGGTGATGAACCGCACCCAGCGCTACCGTAATGCACCTAATACCTAGCAACGGCGATGTACCGCACCCAGTGCTACCGTAATGCACCTGATACCTAGCAAGGGCGATGTACAGCACCCAGCACTACCGTAATGCACCCAATACCTAGCAAGGGCGATGTACCGCACCCAGCACTACCGTAATGCACCTAATACCTAGCAAGGGTGATGTACCGCACCCAGCACTACCGTAATGCACCCAATACCTAGCAACGGCGATGTACCGCACCCAGCACTACCGTAATGCACCTGATACCTAGCAAGGGTGATGTACCGCACCCAGCACTACCGTAATGCACCAAATACCTAGCAACGGCGATGTACCGCACCCAGCGCTACCGTAATGCACCTAATACCTAGCAAGGGCGATGTACCACACCCAGCGCTACCGTAATGCACCTAATACCTAGCAACGGTGATGTACCGCACCCAGCGTTACCGTAATGCACCTAATACCTAGCAACGGCGATGTACCGCACCCAGCACTACCGTAATGCACCTAATACCTAGCAACGGTGATGTACCGCACCCAGCACTACCGTAATGCACCAAATACCTAGCAACGGCGATGTACCGCACCCAGCACTACCGTAATGCACCTAATACCTAGCAAGGGCGATGTACCACACCCAGCGCTACCGTAATGCACCTAATACCTAGCAACGGTGATGTACCGCACCCAGCGTTACCGTAATGCACCTAATACCTAGCAACGGCGATGTACCGCACCCAGCACTACCGTAATGCACCTAATACCTAGCAAGGCCGATGCACCGCACCCAGCGCTACCGTAATGCACCTAATACCTAGCAAGGGTGATGAACCGCACCCAGCGCTACCGTAATGCACCTAATACCTAGCAAGGGCGATGTACCGCACCCAACACTACCGTAATGCACCTAATACCTAGCAAGGGCGATGTACCGCACCCAACACTACCGTAATGCACCTAATACCTAGCAAGGGCGATGTACCGCACCCAGCGCTACCGTAATGCATCTAATACCTAGCAAGGGCGATGTACCGCACCCAGCGCTACCGTAATGCACCTAATACCTAGCAAGGGCGATGTACCGCACCCAGAACTACCGTAATGCACCTAATACCTAGCAAGGGTGATGTACCGCACCCAGCGCTACCGTAATGCACCTAATACCTAGCAACGGCGATGTACCGCACCCAGCGCTACCGTAATGCACCTAATACCTAGCAAGGGTGATGTACCGCACCCAGCGCTACCGTAATGCACCTAATACCTAGCAACGGCGATGTACCGCACCCAGCGCTACCGTAATGCACCTAATACCTAGCAAGGCCGATGCACCGCACCCAGCGCTACCGTAATGCACCTAATACCTAGCAAGGGTGATGAACCGCACCCAGCGCTACTGTAATGCACCTAATACCAAGCAACGGCGATGCACCGCACCCAGCGCTACCGTAATGTACCTAATACCTAGCAAGGCGATGTACCGCACCCAGCGCTACCGTAATGCACCTAATACCTAGCAAGGGTGATGAACCGCACCCAGCGCTACCGTAATGCACCTAATACCTAGCAAGGGTGATGAACCGCACCCAGCGCTACCGTAATGCACCTAATACCTAGCAACGGCGATGTACCGCACCCAGTGCTACCGTAATGCACCTGATACCTAGCAAGGGCGATGTACAGCACCCAGCACTACCGTAATGCACCCAATACCTAGCAACGGCGATGTACCGCACCCAGCACTACCGTAATGCACCTAATACCTAGCAAGGGTGATGTACCGCACCCAGCACTACCGTAATGCACCAAATACCTAGCAACGGCGATGTACCGCACCCAGCGCTACCGTAATGCACCTAATACCTAGCAAGGGCGATGTACCGCACCCAGCGCTACCGTAATGCACCTAATACCTAGCAACGGTGATGTACCGCACCCAGCGTTACCGTAATGCACCTAATACCTAGCAACGGCGATGTACCGCACCCAGCACTACCGTAATGCACCTAATACCTAGCAAGGCCGATGCACCGCACCCAGCGCTACCGTAATGCACCTAATACCTAGCAAGGGTGATGAACCGCACCCAGCGCTACCGTAATGCACCTAATACCTAGCAAGGGTGATGTACCGCACTGAGCGCTACCGTAATGCACCTAATACCTAGCAAGGGTGATGTACTGCACCCAGCGCTACCGTAATGCACCTAATACCTAGCAAGGGTGATGTACCGCACCCAGCGCTACCGTAATGCACCTAATACCTAGCAAGGGTGATGTACCGCACCCAGCACTACCGTAATGCACCTAATACCTAGCAAGGGCGATGTACCGCACCCAGCGCTACCGTAATGCACCTAATACATAGATGCTGTACAGCACATTGGGTCCTGGGCCTGGACTGGCGCAACTGAATGCTACCGTAATGCAGCTAACAATTAGCAATGGTAATGTGTACCCTCTGCCTGCGCGGGGGCTGGATCCTGAGCCCCAGAGAGAGACAGAGTCTGGTGCCTGGTTCCTGTGTGTAAGACAAAGGTCATGTCATGGAGAATCCCCCCTACCCCCGGATCTCTGCCTGGTTCCTCAGCCAGGACTCCTGGGTTCTCTCCCCGGCTCTGGGAAGGGAGTGGGGGCTGGTGGTTAGTGTGTGTGTGTGTGTGGGGGGGGTTGGGAGCCAGGACTCCTGGGTTCTCTCCCCGGCTCAGGGAGGGGAGGGAGGAGGAAGAAGGAGTCACTTGCGACAAAGAGCCACATTGTGCCTCAATAAACTGACCTTCCCTGAGACTCAGGCTATTTTTAGGCTGCTCTTTCCTGCGGGGGAAGGGGGAGCAGTTCGCACACATCTGCTGGCCGAATTACAACCGGCCCCACATCACCTTCCCTGCCCCACTGAGCCACTCAACCAGTGCCCCCTAGCACCGGCCCTGAAGGCCAGGGGACAGCCCCCCACTCCACTCCCTGCAGCACAGCGCCCCTGAGGGGACTGAAATCAAGGCCCCGATCCTGCTCTGATTCCTGCTAGACCAGTCTGCCCAGATGCCTGGCATCACCTGGGGTGCCTCAGGGGAGCAGCCGTGCCCTTCTCGCCTGGCACCACGGGACGCTGCTGCGGGTTTGATGTTGCGTGGGGGGGGTTAGGGACAGCGAGTCCCAGCAGCAGCCTCCTGCCTCTGGGTGCTCAGCCACGTGCTGCGAACTTTCCCCTAGCAGTGTCGCCTGCCTCTCAGGCCTGTGGCGGTTGGGTACATTCCTGTGGTGGGGCCAGGGGATTGAATTGCACTGAGGGGGGGAACAGGTAGAGCTGGGCCCTGGGAGTTTTCCAACCAAGCCCAGCCCAGCCCGGGGCCGCCCCTGGGTCTGCCGGCCCAGCCCAGCCCTATAACAGCCCCTGGAGGCACCGCTGGCCCCACAGCCGGCCCAAGCCTGCGAGACAGCATGGGCGAGCTGCTGAGCCTGTGCATGCTGGCTGCACTGCTGGGCCCAGGTGAGTGACTGGGGGGCCGTGCACACCCCAGGGCACCCCGTCCCCTGCCCCAGGGACCCCCCAGGAACCCTTGTCCCCTGTCCCCAGCCCCAGGGACACCTGTACCCAGTCCCAGCCCGGCCCCAGGGCACACCTGTATCCAGCTGTGACGAAGTGGGACTGTTCTTAATGTTTCCTCTGAATAGTGTAGGGGTGCCTCAGTTTCCCCCAGGCAGTTCTTAAGTATCTAGGGGGTGGAGTAAGGGTGTATGATCATTGCAGAGCCCTAGAGGGCAGGTGTGTGAAGGGGCCTGGACACAAAGAATGGCCGACACCCTGTTTCCTGGCAACTGATGGCCTGGGCCCTTTCCCCCCCTGCAAGGTGAGAGCTGAAGGGTTGGAGAACAAAGGAATCAGGTGACCACCTGGCCCGGGAAAGGAACAAAGCCCAGAGGAGGAGGGGCTGGGGGGAGTTTCAGTTTGGGGCTGGCTGGGACATGGAGTGAAGTACAGACGTGGTTGTCTGGCTCACTGCCCCCCAGTATGGACCCAGCTGAGGGGTCCCGTTCTCTGCACCTGCAAGCTCTGTTTTAGACCATGTTCCTGTCGTCTAATAAACCTTCTGTTTTACTGGCTGGCTGAGAGTCACGTCTGACTGCGAAGTTGGGGTGCAGGACCCTCTGGCTTCCCCAGGAGCCCCGCCTGAGCGGACTCGCTGGGGGAAAGCGCACGGAGGGGCAGAGGATGCTGAATGCTCTGAGGTCAGACCCAGGAAGGTGGAAGCTGTGTGAGCTGTGTGTCCTGAAGACAGGCTGCTCACAGAAAGGCGACTACCCCAGAGTCCTGACTGACTTCATGGGGAGCAGTTCCAGAGCATCGCCCAGGGACTCCATGACACCAGCACCCATGGACACCCCCCATTCCCCAGCCACGGGGTGCCCCTGTACTCATCCCCCAGGCTCCCCCTGTACCCAGCCCCTCAGCCCCCGAGCACCCCTGTACCCCTGCACCCATCCCCCAGGGTCACCCCTGTACCCAGCCCCACGGACACCCTTCTCCTCCCCGCTACTCAGTCCGTGCACCCCAGAGCACCCCGGTACCCACTGTCAGATCGCCATAGACACTCACTATCTATCCCCCATCTAGCCCCATACACATGATCTAGCTAGCCCCACAGATACCGCCTCTAGCCACCTACGGGGGGTGGGGGGGTTGCGTGGGGATAGGTATGGGCAGGGGAGAGGATGGATCCTGTTGCCACTTCACCCAGTGAATTTTGGTTATTTAATGTCTAATAGATCTTCAGGTCTGGGAGGGGAGTGGTGTCTAGTGGTTAGGGCAGAGGGGCTGGGAGCCAGGACTCCTGGGTTCTCTCCCCAGGTCTGGGAGGGGAGTGGGGTCTAGTGGTTAGGGCAGGGGGGGGCTGGGAGCCAGGACTCCTGGGTTCTCTCCCCAGGTCTGGGAGGGGAGTGGGGTCTAGTGGTTAGGGCAGGGGGGGCTGGGAGCCAGGACTCCTGGGTTCATTCTGGGGCCATGTGTCGGTGAGAAGGCATGCAGTGATACAGGCTGAACAAGTGATTCGTTCCCCTGGCTGCAGGGCCACTGTGTCCATGGGGGCAGGATGGAATTTCCCAGACACTGGCAGGTTGATGGGCCCCTGGGGCCGACCTGGGGGGTGGGGGTGGGGGACAGGAGGCAGGATGCCGGGTGAGACGGGCCCGTTGGAGGGCCTCTAACTGTGCTTCCCTCCCCTGTGCCCAGGGGGCGCCATCTCCTGCTATAACTGCACCAGCTCGGAGGGCTACAACTGCACCATGGACCAGGCCACCTGCCCGGGCACCGTCAACAGCTGCATCACCATCGCCTGCGTCGAGGAGCACGGTAGGGCCTGGCCTGTGGGGCTGGGGGAGTGGGGACAGCAGCGCTGCGAGCTTCCCCCCAGCAGTGCCCCCTGGAGCTGCAGGCCTCCCCTGACAGCGGTGACCCCCAGCACTCCAAGTTTCCCGTCAGCCGTGCCCCCCGGCTGCTGCGAGCTTCCCTCCAGCAGTACCCCTGTTTGACGTTGCGCACACCTCCCCAGCAGTGCCAACCCACCCCAGTGCTGCGAGCTTCCCCCCAGCAGTGCCCCCCAAATGCCATAGGTAGACTGAGGGGGGTGCAGGTACAAACCTTGCATGTGGCCTAGCCTCTTGACTGCTCCATCCCAGGGGCAGTCTCCCCACAGATCAGGGCTTGCCCCATCCCCGCCATACCCCTCGCCTCACCCCCAGTGCCCGCCATGTCCTTCCAGGGGACGAGGACAAGGAGAAGCCCATGTATGAGAAGAAATGCAACTTGGACGACCGGCTTTGCAACCAGTTCTACGGACTGACGGCTGGCGCTTACCGTCTGCGCTGGAACTCAACGTGCTGCCGGGCGGACCGCTGCAACCTGCCCGAGATCACCCGTAGGGAGCCTCCTGGGCAGCGCCAGGACACCTGGGTTCTCGCCCCAGCTCTGGGAGGGGAGTGGGGGCTGGTGGTTAGCGCGAGAGGGAGGCTGGGAACCAGGACGCCTGGGTTCTCTCTCCAGCTCTCAGAGGGGAGTGGGGTCTGGTGGTTAGAGCAGGGTGGGCAGGGAGCCAGGACTCCTAGGTTCTCTCCCTGGCTTGGGGAGGGGAGTGGGGGTTAATGATTAGAGCGAGGGGGAGGCTGGGAGCCAAGATTCGTGGGTTTGATCCCTGACTCTGGGAGGGGAATGGGGGGTCTCATCGTCAGAACGGGGCTGGGAGGTGGGAGCCGGGACTCCTGGGTTCTATCCCTAGCTTTGGGAGGGGAGTGCGGTCTGTGGTTGGGGGGATGGGGCTGGGAGCCAGGACGCCTGGGTTCCATCCCAGAGGGGGTCTCATCGTCAGAACGGGGCTGGGGCTGGGAGCCAGGACGCCTGGGTTCCATCCCCAGCTCGGTCTCACTCCTTGTTGTGTCTCCTTCCCACAGTGCAGCCCAGCTCTGGGGTGCCCAACGGGCTGCAGTGCCCCTCATGCTTTGCCCGCGGCTCGGACGTCTGCGTGCCCAGCGAGGTGCTGAACTGCACAGGCCTGCAGACCCAGTGCATCCAATTCGCCGCCACCGCCGGCCCAGGTACCGGGGTGGGCGCCCCGCTGGGCGTGGGGCCGGGGAGTGGCGGTTCAGTCGTGTGTGTTTGGGGGGGCTCTTGTGCCGATGAGGGCTCATGGCCATGGAGGGGCTGCGGGTCTGTTACCCGTGGGACGGTTGGTGGGCTGGTGCCCATGCGGGGCTGGTGCCCAAGGGGTAGTTGCGGGGTTGTGTGGGGGCTGGTGCCCATGGGGTAGTTGGCAGCTGCATTGGGGGGCTGGTGCCCATGGGGGGTGGTGCCCAAGGGGTGGCTGGGAACTGAATGGGGGGCTGGTACCCACGCGGCGGTTGGGGGACTGTGTGGGAGGGTTGGTCCCCAGAGCGTGGTGGGGGGGGGGCTGGTGCCCATGGGGCGGTTGGGGGGTGCGTCGGGGGTCTCTTGCGCCCCTAACCCTCTCCCCTCCCCCCAGGGTTCGAGGGTCTCCGGGTGGCCTTCATGGGCTGTGCCACCCACAGCCTGTGTGTCGTGGGCGCCGTGGCCCTGTTCGCCCCCCAGCGCCAGGCCGTGCTCAAGACCAACATGTGCAGCGCGGGTGGGGCGGCCCGGGGGGGGCTGCCCCTCCTTGGCCTCGGGGGGCTGCTCCTCTGGGCGCTGCGCCCCTGATCGCATCGTCCCCCCTCTGCAGTGCCCCCCTTTGGCAGGGAGCCGCCCCCCCCCCCCAATTGACCTCCCCCCTGCATAGGTCTGGGAAGTAGTCTCTTTCCCGGCTGTTGCTCCCGGTCATCCTCCCCCCAGCCTGGCACTGCCCCTCATCACACCCCCAAAGCTGGGCGCTGCCCCCTTAAATGCCACCTGTGGATGGTGCCGTGCCCTTCCTCACCCGCCCCAGCGCTCCCCCCCCCATCATCCCTCCCCTGACACGGTACTTCCCACGGCCCAATTCCGTGTCCTCTTCCCTGGGTTGGATCGGGGCTGGCGCCCCTTAGCGAGGACAGGCCCAGTCCCCACCCCCCAAGCCAGCCAGTCCCTGTCCTCGGGCCAGATGGGAGCCAGCGCCCCCTAGAGGGGACAGGCCCCGCACCCCATTTCCCGCTCCTCTGAGCCAGCCGATCCTGCCGTGGGGCCGGATGGAGCCAGCACCCCCTAGAGGGGACAGGCCCCGCACCCCATTTCCCGCCCCCCTGAGCCAGCCGATCCTGCCCTGGGGCCGGATGGAGCCTGCGCCCCCTAGAGGGGACAGGTCCCGCGCCCCATTCCCCGCCCCCCTGAGCCAGCCGATCCTGCCGTGGGGCCGGATGGAGCCAGCGCCCCCTAGAGGGGACAGGCCCCGCGCCCCATTTCCCGCCCCCCTGAGCCAGCCGATCCTCCTGCTTGACCCCCCGAACCCTCCCCCATTTCCCGCCCCCTGAGCCAGCCGATCCTGCCATGGGGCCGGATGGAGCCAGTGCCCCCTAGAGGGGACAGGCCCCGCGCCCCATTCCCCGCCCCCCTGAGCCAGCCGATCCTGCCGTGGGGCCGGATGGAGCCAGTGCCCCCTAGAGGGGAGAGGCCCCGTGTCTGTTCGCTGGCAGTGGTTGCCAAACCCACCGCTTGCAGGAGTTTCTTTCCGATCCGGGTTGATTTTCCGGTTTCATTCTCTTCTCACCAACCCAGCTCACGCACTGGGAACGGCCACTTTGAGCCGATAATGCAGTCGCAGAGTTTTATGTAATAAACTTGCAAATACGAACAAGTTTGTGTTTGTGTAAGCGGGGGAATAGTCCCACTCTTGTGGGGAACTTTCCTGGCTTCTGCATGACCCTGGTGAAGTGGGCTAGCGAAAGGATCTGAGTCCTCGCTCCCACTTCTTTTACCCAGTGACCTCCCTGCCCTCGAGGACTCCCCTTCCACTCTCCTGTCTGGCAGAGTCCTCGTAACCCCAACAAGGCTGGGCCCAGGATTCCTGGGGGGCTCGACCCCCAACCCTGCTGCAGTCACCTAGGACAGGGGCCAGGGTGTCCCCACTCCGGGGGGCTCTCTCTGCACTGGGCACTTCTCTGACCCACTGACCATTACATACAAGTTAAAGCAAATGCAAGTTATTTAATCAACAATTAATGTTAAAGAGAGTAAGGGAAAATGGGAAAGATCCCAGGCCTCCTGCTCTGGCCCTGTCCGTGCTGCAGGGATGCTGGGGGTCGGACACTCGCTCTGGGGGGCCACAGGCTCTAGGTGGCAGGGCCCTTCTTCCCAGCGTTGCCCCCGCCCTGTCGGGGTTACCAATCCCCCCCTCCCCTGAGTCTGGCCTGCGGAGCCTCCTGGCTGAGGCGTCTCCCTGCGCTGGGCCCACTGCCCAGGGTCCCCCCTTGCTCTCCCCAGCTGCTCACGACACCCAGCTCCGGGCAGCCCCAGCCCCACTCTGCCTCCAGCCCCCTGGGCTGCTTCGCTGGCCCCTCTGGCTTTGGGGCTGCAGCTCTGCTCCCAGGACAGGGGCTGCTCTCTCTGGGCTGCGCCTCTGGTGCCTCTGGCTCTGGCCCAGCTCTGCCCCCCAGCTCAGGTCGGGCCCCGGCTTTCTCCTTAGCTCGGCCCCCCTCTGTCTGTCTGACCCAGGCAATTCCAGCTCACCCGGAGAAGGGGACCTGGCTCCCTCATTAGCCTGCCCGCCCTGTCATTCAGGCTGACCTGGGGCATTGGCATCTCCCCGGTGTTCCTGGGGGCTGTCAGTCTCAGGATCCTGATTCCCCATCGACCCTTCCCCCTTTTTAGTACTGGGAGCTAGCAACTAAAACACCCCCCGAATATTAGTAAGGGGGCAAGAGTCCCCTTACATTTGGGTGCAGGAGAGGTGAGAGGTCGGTTTTTGGAAGGGAGTTTAGGTGTGGGAAGGGGTGCGGGGGGCAGGTTCTGGGCTGGGGCAGGGGGTTGGGGTGTGGGAAGGGGTGCAGGGGGCAGGTTCTGGGCTGGGGCAGGGGGTTGGGGTGTGGGAAGAGGTGCAGGGGGTGGGCTCTGGGCTGGGGCAGGGGGTTGGGGTGTGGGAAGGTGCAGGGGGTGGGCTCTGGGCTGGGGCAGGGGGTTGGGGTGTGGGAAGGGGTGCAGGGGGCGGGCTCTGGGCTGGGGCAGGGGGTTGGGGTGTGGAAAGGGGTGCAGGGGGCGGGCTCTGGGCTGGGGCCGGGGGTTGGCGTGAGGGAGAGGGTGAGGGGTGTGGCGATGACCTCCGGCGGCTCCCAAAAGTGATAGGCACACCCCTCTGGCAGCGGCTACTAGTCAAGGGGGCTGCGGGGTCTCCATGTTCTGCTGCCCGCAGGCAACGCCTCCGCTGCTCCCATTGGCTGCAGTTCCCAGCCAATGGAAGCTGCGGAGTCGGCACTTAGGGTGGGAGCAGTGTGCAGAGACACTCCCCAGCCCTTCCTGGCAGGCGGGGCCGGGAGACACTCCAGGGGAGGAGCGTCGGGGCAGCAGGCAGGATCGGGGCAGAGACCTGGCCCCGAACATTGGCGGAACTGGGCCGCCGGGCCCTGAATATTCCTGGAGCCTGGGCACCACGGGCCCATATAACTTGCCGCCCTTGGCGGGGCCTGAGGGAGAGGTGGAGAAGATGTGGGGACTTGGGGGCAGAGGCTGAGAAAGGAGCCGGGCGCCGGGGCGGGAGGAATTCCCCCGGGGAACGTGCCGCTGTCGATGGCAGATTCTGGGGTCAGGATGGAATTTGTGGGTAACACCAGTGAGAAGAAAACCCGGGGCCATGTCCCCCGACTCACTCGGGGAGAGCAGGGGATTGGAGTCTGGGACTCCCACAGCCCATGTGAGGGGCCTGGCCAGCGGGCTGTGGGTCAGACTGGGGTGTTAGGTCGGGGTCTGAGTCCATCTGTCCTTCCTCCTCCTCATTCCTCCTCCACCTCTGACGGGGCTTGGGGTCATCCCGATGAGGAGCAGGAAACGTTTGGAAATCACAGACAATTCTCAGGAGCCAGGAAAACCGTCCCCCACCCTTGTCATCCTGCTTGGAAATGTTCCCCTGCCCCCTGCGCTGAGATTCCTGCCAGGACTCCTGGGATCATTCCCCGGCTCTGGGAGGGAGTGGGGGGGTCTCTTCTGGGGTGTACGTACCCCACGCTGGCCCAGGGAGCACAGGGAGAAAAGGGCTGAGCAGCGGGAGGGTTTTGCAGATTCCTGGGCACAGGGACTAGCGTGAGGGCCGCGCTGAGCTGGGTGAGCCGGGACCGCGCCCTGCTTGGCCAGGAGGGGACACTGTTGCGCCATCGCACTGACTCACATGGTCTCATTTCTGGGAGCCAGGACTCCTGGGTTCTATCCCCAAGTCAGGGACGGGGTGGGTCTAGAATAGGCTGGAAGCCAGCAGCAATTAGGACTCCTTGCTTAAAAGAACAGGAGTACTTGTGGCACCTTAGAGACTAACAAATTCATATAAAGTACTCCTGTCCTTTCTGGCGATACAGACTAACACGGCTGCTACTCTGAAATCTGACTCCTTGGCTGTATTCGTGGCTCCGAGTCTGACACCGCCTCTTTCTGCCTCAGTTTCCCTGTTTATAAGATGGGGATAATGTTCCCTTCCTCCCACCTGGGACCCTGGCAAAGGCAGGAGAAGGCATTTGGAGGTTGAAGTGATGTTTCCAGAGGAAAGCTCTGAAAAAAAACAAAGTGGACCAATTGGTTTTCTTTCTTTCGTCCTGCAATTAAAAACTTATGTTCATTGACTGAATTGAAACTCTCCCAAGCTCTGGACAGGAAAGAGTTAAGGATCATGGGATCTCTTCAGCCAGCCCAGAGTTTTTGCATGCATGATGGAGGTGTGAAGCCATCAGTGGCGAGGGTGAACGATCACCAGTCAAATTCGGCAGAAGAGAGTTGACAGGACAGGATGGTCCCCGGCTTTGGAGTCAAAGCTTTTCTTGTGCTTGCATTTCAGTGTAGAGTACATAGAGCAATATGAACAAGGGGCCGACAGTTTAGCTCGTACTGACTTCACTCGTGCCTTAATGTGGCCTGTTGTAAAACGAGGCAAATATCTAGATGAGCTGATGTACCCCGGAAGACCTGTGCGTACCCCTGGGGTACACGGACCCCTGGCTGAGAACCGCTGATCTCCACTAACGCACAAGGGAATTGGCCTCAGTACACATTGGCATCACCTGATCAGCCAGTGTCACATGCAGGGTTGTGAAATCTCCCATCTCCGGGCACACCAGGATGTCATGGGGCAGCCCCAGCCGATGCCCCAGGGGGCAGGTATTTGCCAACCTGCCTGATAAAACCACAGCGAGATCCTTCCTCGCTGTTCTGCTCACTGCAGCAAACACCCGGCACCATGTGGGTGGCTCTGCCTCTCTGCCTGCTGTCCGCTCTCCTGGCCACAGGTGAGTCCCGTCCGTCCCCGGGCACAGGGAGCCGGGTGGTGGAGGCGGGAATTCACCCGGGGAACATGCCGCTGTCGATGGCGGTTTCTGGGGTCAGGATGGAATTTGTGGGTAAAACCAGCGAGAGGAAAACCTGAGGCCCCATCCCCTGGCTGACTCGGGGAGAGCAGGGATTGGAGCCTGGGACTCCCACAGCCCATGCTAGGTGCGTGGCCAGTGGGTCTGAGTCCGTCTGTCCTTCCTTCTTCTCGTTCCTCCTCCAGCTCTCGCCCAGGCTTGGGGTCATCCCGATGAGGAGCACCACCCCCGTCCACATATAATCCCGCTTGGAAATGTTCCCCTGCCCACCAGCGCTGAGATTCCTGCCAGGAATCCAGGGTTCATTCCCCGGGTTTGAAAGGGGAATGGGGGTGCAACGGGTGGGGGCTGGGAGCCAGGACTTCTGGGCTCATTCCCCAGCTGTGGAAGAGGGCTGGGGTGTAGTGAGTTTGAGCAGAGATGGCTGCAAATCAGGACTCCCGAGTTCTGTCCGTGGCTCTGAAAGAGGAGTGGGGTCTCGTGGGTTAGAGTGGGCTGGGAGTCAGGAGTGAGGACTTCTCAGCTGTCTTCTTGGTTCTAACCCCAAATTGAACACATCTTTTTTCTACCTCAGTTTCCATATTTCTTTGATAGGGATAATATAACTTTGCTACCATGTAGGGACATAGAAGGGGCGGGGAAGGTGTTCTGAGGTTTAATTGACGTTTCCACATGAAAGCTCTAAAAAAACCAAAGTGGGAAAATTTCTTTCTTTCTTTCTTTCTTTCTTTCTTTCTTTCTTTCTTTCTTTCTTTCAAAACCTTACGCTTACATCATGAATTTAAAGGCCCCCACGCTCTGGAGAGGAAAGAGTTGATGCTCCTGGGATCGCTAGCTGGAGGCGCACAGCCATCTATCCAGAGTCTTAACAAGCGTCAATCGTATTCTGAAGAAGAGAATTGGCAGGATCAGCGATGAAAAGTGG